AAAGATATATAACACAATTTAAATTGTTTAATTCATTCTTTTGTTTTAAAGAAAACAAATCGACAAACAGAATCGTTACTTGCATAATTTGATAAATGTAATGAGTCTGTTTATCCATAACGCATAACAAGTAGAAGCCTTGGTTAGTCAATGATTGAATTTTTGCAGTATTTTTTCAATATAATTTTCATTATTACATATTAAAGTTATTATATATTTTACTATGTTTCATAATTTTTTATTAAAAACAGTTTGTCTGTACTCTTTATATTTATAAGTATAGAATGATATATAATAGTATATTTAATTAACTATTATTACTTACCAAAAAATTTAATTTACTTAAATTATATAAAATATTAATTTAAATAATTAAAATTATAAATATTTAGTTTTATAACAATAAAACAATAAAATATTTATAAAAATAAAAATATATTAATAGTTATTTTATTAAAGAAAAAAAATAAACCAATAAAAATTATTATTAATTAATAATATTTATCAAATCAAAAGTTTTAAATCTATTTTAGTAATTTCAAAAATGTTATAGAGTTGTTTTAAATAAAATATTATTACATAATCAAAATATATTGTTTTATTAAAATTTTTATAATCTAAACATATTTTGTAATATAGTAAATAAAATAATTAATGAAATTTACTAATAAACTTATTTTTATAAAAATGAGTCTGTTTATATAGATTAGTCTTAAAACAATTTGATAAAATAACTGAAGTACCATGTTTATAATCACATACATACCACAATAAAAAAACAAAAAGTAGTTAAATAACATTTTGCATGTTTTTTTTCTTTTCAACGCGTTTTCAAGTCGTATATAACTAAAGTTGAGCATTTTGGTGAATTTGCAAATTCAACTTATATTTACCACTTTAAAAACATGATTATTCCTTATATTTACCAAAAAATAACAGTTGTCTTTTTATTTTAAATACAAATATTACTAATTTTAAGTTATATTCAATATAAAAATTTATAATATGTGAATTTAAAATTTATAGTATATCCAAGTAAATATAGTCCAAATATAATTACATATATTTATAATATATTTGTATTTTATGATATATTAAAATATTTATAATATATATATTTTTTTAATGAAAAACACAATTATATGATAAAAATTAATACAATTGTTAAAATCAATGCTATTAATATATATATATAAAAAGTATAACTTTTGTCTTTTATTGTTGTTAGAATCTTATAAATAACAAACATATGCAAAACCCAAATACCAACAGACGTTTTGAAGAGTTCCGTACTTTTTACACTTTCGAAATAAAAGCGCAACTCCCACACGATCGTTTGCGTGAATTTCATTATTGTATTTTCTGTGGAAAAATGTTTAATAGACGCAAATATGTCAAACACGCTGTCAACGCAAAACCTGAAAAAAAACAAATTTAAAAGTGTTGGCAATTTTAAATTTTTTGATGACAATTTTGACAAATGTAATTTAATTGCGCTCAACAGTCAGCTCGTTGAAGAGGAAAAAACAAATCATGTGAGTTGACTGATAATGAAATGGAAATTGCACCAAATATTTATAGAGGTGCTGATTTGTTGAAAGTGAGGAAGGAACTTGAGTCACAATTGAGACAAATAGGTTATACTTCATTTGAGGACCTTAAGAAATATTTATTGAAAAGATTGGAAGAAACTGTTCGTGTTCTTCCACTTATAGATTATCGCACATTACGAATAAATACTCGTGTTTTACACAGCGAGTCAACACAAGAAGCACTCGACAATATCAGTAAAAGTTTAAGTGTTCCTATTATTAATTGTGAAGATGTTGTTTTACAAAATTCAACTGGTATTGTCGACTCCAACACTGAACAACAAACGTCTGTCGTTTCAAATGATATTTCCGTTCATCTAACCATTCAAACAGGAAATACGACACATGTTGATTATTGCCAGGATACCGACAACGAATCTCAGAATACTAACGATTCGACCAAAGAAGAAATAAAATTTACTGTGTTTGAGATCGAACAATTGGAAAAAATGAACTATATTAAAGAGCTCCTCAAACCAGAGAATAAATACTCCGCAGAGTACATCGCACAAGAAACCAACAAAGAAATACATAAACGACTTGGTAAAAATGTTGACAGTTATTCAACAACAAGTGATGCTAAAAATAAAAAAGGCAGCTTTATAACGATGATGGCTGCATTGATGATGGGAGCGTGTGGGTTGACAAATAATCAAATTGATGCCATGTCAAAATTGATATCCATAATTTTGCTCATGTCCAATGTTCCTAAAAAGTCGTTAACACTGCTCTCAGTTCTTCAACTATGCAACGGAGATTTGTGTTAATTTCGAAAAAATCCAGATATGAACTACAACTAATCTTCAAGCAGTGTGACTATTATACATTAATGGCCGATTCAGCAATGTACAGTGGGGTTGAATACTTTTCGCTCTTTGTAAGATTCGTGTTTTCAGATGGATCATTTGAAGAAAAAAGAGTCAAAATAGAAAACTATGACGGCAAAACAGATGCTGCGGGGTGGCTCAGTTGGATAATGAAAATATTGGAATTGATGGATGCCGACCTCATCAAATGCATTGGTGCTTGTTTTGATGGAGCTTATGTTCTGATACGAAATGGTGGGCTCTCTGGTAAACTCCTGGCTAAAATAAAAGAGAGAGACGGGCTGAACGGATTTGATTCAAACTACTGCTTTTCACACAGAACAAATAAAGCGACTGAAAAGTGTTTTGAATCTCAATGGGGGCTGGCTATTGAAAGTTTCTTGGACGGGTTAACAGTTCAGACAACAAGAACAGCATGGGATCAATTCTGTGCCAAAAATCATATCAAAGGTGCAGTTCTCAAATTGGTTCAACGATCCGAAACAAGGTGGCTCCAAACAGTATTGATTCTTGATAATATGTTTGAGAATCTGCCTTCACTTCAAGAATTTTACAGTGAAAGAGAACAATACCAAAAGCCTTTTGGACCTCGCAACATTATGGGTGAGTGTAATGTCAACTGCAAATTGTTTGTTGCGTGTATGTTCTTCACTCAAATAGTGCTCAGTAAGGTGAAGATAATTAACGATTGGCTACAGACCGCCAATTTACTATACCCCGTGGCCTATCAACGTGTTGAAGATTTAATTTCGAATATCTTCGAGCTCAGACGAAAGGTGGTGTTAACCGATTATTTAGAAAAAATGAAATACATTGAAGATCTTGACGACAACGAAAAATTCATTTTGAAAAAGTATTCAATTCACCTGCTCGTTAAGTTGAGTGACGCGATGATTTTGAGGTTTGCAATTCCTTCAAGAAAAATGACCAAAGAAGACCTTTTCGATGCTGGATTGTTGAAGGAAAACCAGGTCAAAGGAACGAATATGGCAAATTTCGGGAAATTACAAAGAAAACTCAAAGGAAAAGAACTGGTAGTAAACATCAAAATTTACAACAATTTTGATGCAAAATCATTCGAGGAAAGTGATGACCAAGAATTAAAAGCGGAAGTTCAAAAGTTTCAAGATTGGTACTGTGCCAACATTGAAAAAGTCGAAGAAATTTCAAACAGGTTAGAAAGGGAAGAAAGGGCTGATGCTACTGAGGCGATACGTACTCTTGTTTAACAAGTGAGATTAACAAGTACAGATCAAACAGAAGCAACAGATATCGCTGAAGATTGCAGCAGTAGTGAAGTTGTTAAAGAAAAGAGAGCAACCGCCATTCAACACAGAAAGCACATAAGGGCTTTATTCAAAAAAGAAGCAGAAGATTTCTTAAAGAGTTGCCCAGTCAAAAAAAATTAACTTTGAACACCTTGTTTGCTTTGATGAGTCAAGAAGAAAAAAATCAATTCCCACGTTTATTCAATCTTGTGAAAAAGATGAATGCTAAGAGTCCAACCACTTGCCCAGTTGAAAGATCTTTTAATAAAATTGGACAACTTGAAAGAGCAAACATGAGCGTTGAAAAGAAAGTTGCTAACATGGATGTTGGGGATGCTCTGAAAAATTAATTACTAATTTTTAATTCGATTTATTTAAAACAAAACACTTTTATTAATAAAACAAACAAAAAACCTCCAATATTTCGGGTTGGTTTTTTATTGATAAAACAGTATTAAAAAATGTAATATTTCGGGAAGGGGTTTTACTATATTAAAAATCATTTTCAACAATATCAAATAAAACTATAAAACGACCCACCCATCACCATGAACGGGCAGGAAGGAGGGCTATTGGAATGATCAAGGAATCAACCGACATCCTTTTTCTAAACCTCACCCTCTAATTTAAATAGAGATATACAATATATTAATAAATACAAACAAAATTTATAATTATGGGTATTTAACTATACAATAACTATTTTTAATTATTTAATATACTAAATAATTATAATTTAATTTTTATAATAAATTTAATTATATTATTAAAACTATAATTTAAATCTAACAAGTTTATCAAATCAAGCAGGTTTACTTTTTGAGAAAAATATGTCTTACAATGATAAACCATTTAAAAGAGATTTATGTCAAGTCGTTTGAAACTGAAGGAGACTTGTTACTGATAGTCTCAACTAAGATCTATGATCAATAACCGAACAGAGAAGAAGCTTCCAGCTGCTATATTCAAGTTCTCGATGTAGGTGGAGAAGAAATTTGGGGAGAAACTGTCTGTCAAAATTTGTTAGACAGATTTTATTTACTGTTGTAATAGTATACCATCACCTCTTGTTAGATTTATCCACGCAACTCATTTAGTTGTGATTGATAATGTTAAAAATGAAGTAGGGAAAACGAATGCGGAGTGTTTGATAGCATTGAATGATGCATTAGTGACTATTGGAGAGATAAAGATACTATAGTTAAAAGGCATGCGAAATCCGTTTTTAGGAAATTGCAAATGATCAGGGCAACAGAACAAGTCATCGTATGTTGCCTTCACAGACAGTGAGAGGCTGATTGGCGATGCAGCAAAGAACCAGATTGCCATGAATATGAAGAATACAGTCTTTGATGCAAAGAGACTGATTGGAAGACGCTTCAGTGACCCAGCAATTCAAGAGGATATGAAGCACTGGTCATTCACTGTTGTCAACAATGGTAATGACAAGCCATTGATTCGGGTGGAGTACAAGGGAGAGACGAAGAAGTTCACACCAGAGGAGATCAGTTCGATGGTGTTGGCGAAGATGAAGGAGACAGCAGAGGCGTTTGTGTATGGGAAAGTCAACAACGCAGTCATCACATGTCCAGCCTATTTCAACGATTCACAGCGACAGGCAACAAAGGAAGCAGGCACAATTGCAGGCATCAATGTGCTCAGAATCATCAATGAGCCAACAGCAGCAGCAATAGCATATGGACTTGACAAGAAGACGGAGAGAGAAAAGAACAGCTTGATCTTTGATCTTGGTGGTGGAACATTTGATGTGTCTCTTCTTGCTATTGACGATGGCGTCTTTGAAGTGAAGGCAACAAACGGCAACACACACCTTGGTGGCAAAGACTTTGATAACAGAATGGTCAACCACTTCATTGCCGAGTTCAAGAGAAAGTACAAGAAAACATTTCAGGCAATGCACGAGCAGTCAGAAGACTCAGAACATCATGTGAAAGGGCAAAGCGAACACTGTCATCGGCAGCAACAGCAAACATCGAAGTCGACCAGTTGTATGAAGGTATCGACTTCTACACATCACTCACAAGAGCGCGTTTTGAAGAACTCAACATCGACCTCTTTAAGTCAACAATAGCACCAGTCGAGAAGGTGCTTGAAGACGCCAAATTGGACAAAGGAAGCATTGACGACGTGTGTTGATTGGTGGATCAACTCGTATTCCAAATGTTGTGCAGATATTACAAGACTTCTTCAATGGGAAGGAGATCAACAAGAGCATGAATCCAGACGAGGCTGTTGCTTATGGCGCTGCCGTGCAGGCTGCCATTCTAACTGGGAAAGCAGCAGAAAATGTGTTGCTGCTTGACGTTGTGTTATTGACACTTGGCATTGAGACTGCTTGCGGTGTGAAGAGCACTGATACCACGAAATTCGACGATTCCAGCAAAGAAGTCACAAATCTTCTCAACATATGTAGACAACCAACCAGACGTGCTGATCCAAGTGTTTGAAGGTGAGGCATTCATGACATCACATTGTAACTTGCTTGGCAAGTTTGAGTTGAGTGGCATCCCGCCAGCACCATGTGGAGTCACATAGTTGAAGTCACATTTGACATAGATGCAAATAAGATTCTGAATGTCTCAGCTGAAGACAAGACAACAGGAAAGAAGAACAAGATCACAATCACCAACGACAAGGGAAGACTCTCAAAGGAGCAGATCGACAAGATGATTGCAGACGCAGAGAAGTTCAAGGCAGAGGACGACAAGATGAAGGAACGTATCGAGGGGAAAAATGGACACGAGAATTTCTGCTACTCGATGAAAAACACACTCAACGAACAAATTACAACAAAGCTCTCACCAGATGACAAGGCGGCAATTGAAGCAACCATCAATGGAGACACTCGACTGGCTCGACAAGAACCAATCGGCATGAAAGGATGAATACACACAGAAACAGAAGGAAGCTGAGGCTAAGATCCAGCCCATCTTCACTAAAATTATCAACAGTATGCAGCTGGTAACATGTCAGGTGCACAACAATTGGGCACAAATAAGAGCGACACAAAGGGGTGAAGATCGAGGAGGTCGACTGATGTAATTCACTTATCTTTGCAAAGTTATTCGAACTGACTCAAAAAAATTAATTTAAATTTGAATTAGTTTTTAACTATTAATTTATAACAAAAGTACTTGTTGTTTTGCGTTTGTCCATGATGAAATGTATTTTTGGAAATAATTATAATTTTTGATAGTAAATTAATAATAAAAATATAACTCGTTACATAGTTTTAAAAACACAGTAGACACAACAAAAAGGATAATTTTATACACAGAAGGACGTCCTTGATAACGGGAGGACATCCCTAAACCACAAATAACCTATTTCCCCTATATTCCCATCCTTCTTCCCCATGTCCATTTTTTTCTTTATTTGAATAAAATATATTATATTATTATGTATAATATACATAATAAAATATTATTATGTATTATTATGGATTATAATATAATATATCTTGTATATTTTGTAATTTGATAAAAACATAAATTTATTTTTTGTTCAGAAATGCGTTTTTTGTTGTATATTAAAATAAAAAACATATTTGGTCAAAAATATTTATTTTGGAAATAATTACACAATTTTTAAAGTCGATAAATTTACAAAAATATTTTTGTAACAAGATAAAAATAATTCTCTTTTACCACAAATGGACAAATAGCTTGGAAATTATATATATTTTACTTAAAAAAATAAAACCTTTTACCAGTTTATTAAGTTGAAAAAATGCTTAAAAAAGATTAATTAAAAATTTGTTGTTGTTTTAACTTAAATAGGAAGACAAGAAGATGGTTTTATTATAGTTTATTTTAATTGATTATTAATTAAATTTATTGTTGCTTTATTGACTAAATATAAATTCCAAATTCCAAAATGAGTTTGTTTTCATTGTCAATTGATAATCCTTTTTGCAGATTTTGATTTAATTTAAACATAAAAATTCTAACAAACGGGCTTTTTAAAGTATTTTTAATTTGTTATGGCATTTGATAAAATTGGGTTGTTTCTTTTAAATAGAGTGTTTTAAATTAAAAAATAACACTGTTTTGTTGTAAATAATTAATAATTTTATCAATAAAACAGTCATGTTTTACTTAATTTTTAAAGAGAAAATTAATTAATAACAACAGTTACATTACCATAATAAATAGTTTGTTGAATTAAGACTAAAATGAAATTTGGATATTAAAAACTGAGTTTATTTTAAGTGTTAAAAACAATTATTGTTTTGTATATTATTAATTAACTTTGTGTTTCTGAGAAAAATGTTTTTCATTTTGATAAAAATCCAAACAATATTTGCTTCTTATTTTTTTGACCAAAATAGTTTTTTTATTTTACATTGAAAAAAATCCATTTTATAAATATAAATCGAAACAAACTAAAAATACAATGAAAAAACACAATATAAATAGATGATCTGTAAAATATATTTGACAAAGATAAATAATTGAAATAATTATGCCTCTTGGAGAAACGTTTTCAGTTTCCCCACGAGGAGAGGAAGGGAAGAAAGCCCAGATATGTAGCGAGAACGAAGGACTATACATATAGCAGGAGTGACCAAGAAAAGGCTGGAGTTAAACTGTTGGGACCCGAAAGATGGTGACTATGCTTGTGGTGTTTAAAGCCGAAGGAAACTTTGGTAGAAGGACTAAGGAGTGTTAACGTGCAAATTACTTGCAATATATGAGTATAGGGGCGAAAGACTAATCGAACTATCTAGTAGCTGGTTCCACCTGAATATTCCTTTGGGAAGGTTGAAGTGAGAAAGTAGTGACGATTGGTAAAGATAATGATTGGATGTAATGGAGAGCTTGATTTTTCAACATTTTAACAAACTATGAATAGTCGAGAGAATCAAAAATATACTAATTTATTAGGAGTGAGCATATGCGACTTCAAATCGGCCAAGTCTGGTAAGCAGGACTGGCGAT